TTGGAGTTTCGGTAGATCTTTGTTGTACTGACAATTTTGTCACACAAATAAGCAAATACGTATGCATTTTTTTTTTTGTTGAAAAGCAAATACGTATGCATAATAATCCAAAAAAATGTTAGAGATCATTTGTGATAATTTTTTCACGTTTAAATTAGTGAAACAGACGTAGATTGGTAAAAGAATTAGAACGAATATAAACATATAAATGACCGAGTAAAAATAATATTTGCATTTTCAGTATTTAATGACAATACAATGTTTTTCCAAAAAATGACTGAAAAACGACCGGAAAAATGGATGAGCCAGGGTCTAAGAAAAATAGATTTTTGAGGAGTTAATAGGATAACCGGCTAATGAGAGGTGCAATAAAACTTGATCAAGTCTAATTTATTCTAATTTATTGATGTTGAATATTGATTTGGTTTGACTAGTTAGGTCGATAAAGGTTCGAGTGATAGTTCTGATTCATCTAATTGGCTCAAGTAAATCATGGAATCAATACCGTCTTTAAAATTTGGAGAATGATTGTTCTATCCATAATTATGATTGAGCCTTAAATGAGGAATTGCTTGGTTATTTTCGATTGATGAATACATGGAATCATGTTTATGTGGACTATTATAACCAATATGTATAATGATGACATTGTGTGATGTTGTTTAGTCGGAATGTGTAATTATTTTTTAAAAACTTAGAATGCGGTGACTCTGCTTTGTATAAGTTTGCTCTGTTTTGTCGGACTAACCGCTTTACTAGTTTTGTATTATTATTTTTTCTGTTGATAAATAAATTTTACATTTCAACAAAAATATAAAAAAGAGTGGCAAATCAAACCAGCTCGAATTCAAACGAAAATAAAATCAAATTTGGTACATATATATTTCATACCCAAAAAATCCAAAATCTGATAACCCGGACCGAACATATTACCTGAATGTCCAAACCTTATGGTTAGGATTAATGGACATCGTGAGATACAAATTATATTGTGTATGATGTAGCCGATTGATATTTACATAATGTCTATGACATGGCACTCTGTTGTTATCAGGTTGTGGAACGGTCAATGTTTATGTGTAACAAAAAATGGAGTTGGATAAGAGATTTATAGCCTGAGGTTCGGTGGTCCTTCTTCCCCCATACCAAATGTTAGGCATAAAGACACAATGGTACGAAAAATGCAGTCCAGCGCACTGGCAACTATTTGTTTAGTCTATATGGCTACAAGGGTCGCAAGGTCGTCTGGAAGCATGCGTACTACTCTACGCTGCATGGAAACGGAAACAGAAACGTGGAACCGAAATGTTAGAAAATGCGGAAACAATTTTTCTTTAAAAAAAGAAAACGGAAACGTTTTGGAAACGTG